CGGATGCCCCGAAAGTGTAAGGACGAGTTCTATCTCAGCCTTGACGATGCCATCAGAACGATTCCGGAAGGTGACTACCTCACCATAGCAGGTGATCTGAATGGTCACGTAGGCAGTGAAAGAAGAGGCCTGGAAAGGGTGCACGGAGGTAGAGGAATAGGAGTGAGGAACGCCGAGGGAGAGAGGGTCCTGGACCTGGCTACGGCCCACGATCTGGCAATCTGCAGCACGTTCTTCGCGAAAAGGGAGACTCAGAAGGTCACCTACAGCAGTGGAGGGAGACAAACGGAAATCGACCATGTGCTGGTAAAAAGATCATCCCTCAGAACTGTGAAGGACGTCAAGGTACTCCTCTGGCGAAGTATATCATGCAAAAGACCGTTTTGAAAAATCTTGGCACACCCTGGAAGACCTTCCTTGTCAGACACGAGACGGCGCGAGAGGGTAGGGGCGTACCGCTCCAATAGCCGGCTATTGGGCCGCGGGAAGACCATGGTAGATCGCCAGCGGCATATCCTTCGATGCGAATTGCGCGTCGGTCCGCACTCTTGGGCTATCCGTCTGTTTTTTCACGGTAAGTTTCCCCTTCTTCCACCTCCGTCCTTATCCTGAATCCTCTTTGATTGTCATATGCATATGTCATATGTAATGTCATAAGGATCAAGAGACAGAGACAGAGCAATAAGGCCAACGACTTAATATAAGCTGGTGCAAGTTGGAATTATAGTGATTATTCTAACCTCCCTACCTAAATAATGGCTAGGCCTTTCTCCTGCAAGAATTTGATCCATTGACGTCACCATCTTGTTATAAGCTGCGTATGGCCCATAGGAGAGATAATCGAGATGCACTGACCAGAAATTGACGAAAAATAGAGAGTCGACAAGGATTCGTATTCCAATACCGGTACTGGTGTCGGTGTAGGAATGTGGATGGAACTGAAGTGAGTGTAGGTACATTCATTTTTCATCAGCTTATTGTTATATTCGTATCACCGAAAGAGGCTTTCAGAAACCTCATGCCTAGTCAAGATAGCCGTATCCGGTGGAGTTCGATTTGTATGATGCACGCCAACCCACTCTTCGCCAAGCATTTGAGTCAAATTGCCAACAACATGCTCGTTCTCCACTTCCTGAACATTTCTCTTCGAATTTCTGTTAACTACAAGAATCTGTTGAGGATTGTATGAAAATCACTTTTAACAAGAGCGAAAATTCTTTTCAACCGTGCGTTGCGCAGTTCTCAACGGCACGTTGAGAGATCCTCAACGCACGCTGTATGGGCGGAGACGCACAGACGGCTCGAGCATGCGAGTGTGAATGTTCGCGCGAGGAGAACGTGTCTAATCGGGCGAAACTGCGCAACGCACGGTGACTCGCCTATGACGCAAATTTAACTGTTCCACGCTCATGTTTCGGGTCCCGATGACATTTTGCATCACCAACCAAATTTGGAATTGGTTACCATAAAGGCGCCTAGCTCATAGCAACGGTTAAACGCTAACTTCCGTAGTTTTTCCATTAGAAAATCCTAGCAAAAGGAGATGTAGGATTATTGTAAGTGGTTCCCAAAGGGCCACGACTGGGAATTTGGCGGAGGTGACTTCAACGGACAAATTTCTCGGAGGATCTAGGTTTAGATACTGAGGAGGTGAATCTGCTCACATTCGACGAGATAAGCGCCATATCGCTTGAGAAAACATACAACTGGGTACGGAAATCAAAACTTCTTCAAAAGTTAGCGTCTCAATGGATGCAGTTTCACGTGTTTTACAACACGCTCGTAACAGTCCATGTCTGGAAAATAAGAAATACACTTTTTTGTCAAAAGGAGTCATAGAGAAAAACGAGCCATTTTTCTTAGAAAGTTTCGCCAAGTCGATTGAAAGCGGTGACATTCTTTCATTTGTGATTTTTGATTTGCGTCTTTCTTTCTCTTAACGTTTTTCTTTCTCAGATCGGTTTTTTACTTCGTAGCACACATGTATGGAGAAGAAAATGATCAGGAGGATGGTCAGAGGTTCCAAAATATCACAGATAAAAAGTGTCCTCACTTCGCTCTACTTAGCAAAACTTTTTGAGAAAAATGGCTCGTTTTCTTCTCTGATTTCTTTTCACTAAAAGCGTATTTCTTATCCTTCCAGACATGGACTGTCACGAGCGTGTTGTAAAACACGTGAAAACTGCGTCCACACCTAATTTGAAGTTTTGATTTCCGTACCCGTCTGGATAAAGTCGTATTATTTTCTCACGATACGGCGCTTATCTCGGTCGGATAGTAATCAGGGTTCCTTCCCAGTCATATCCTGTAGCATCCTTGAGAAACTTGTTCGTTATGAAGCCACCCCGACAAATTCCTAGCGTGAGCTGACACTTCAACAACTCCTGCGTCTCTTTTGCTAGGATTTCCTTTTACGGAAGTTCGACAGCGGTTTTGCCTTTGCTATAAGCTAAGGACTTGAGTGGGTAATAATTTCAAAATTTGATTGGGTAAAAGCAAAATGCAGCAGAGAAACATGTGGTGGAACTATGATTTTGCGTCATAGGCAAGTCGGGTATTTTCGAAAAAATGAGGAAAAATTTTTGGTCTCAAACTGGATTTCTGGTTAATATTCAGATTCGCGTTTATTATTGTATCACACTTGTCGTGTAGATCCGGTGTTCAAAATTCCCAGATTTTCAAGTTTCCGGGAATTTATGGGATGGAACCATTATACGCGTCGCGAGTGGAATGTTCGCCGCTGTGGAACATGGGCACAGTTGTGACTGCCCCCTTGAAATTTCCTTCTGGCGCATTAGAACACTTGTATACTCCAGAATTACAAGCAAGTTCCTTATATCCACGGCTAGCACGGCTTAATGTTTGTATTAGGACTATTATATCGGAGTTTCAAAACTGAACCATTAGCTCGCCAGTCAGTCAACTGGTTAGTTTTGGTAACATGAATTTAACCCATTCGCGACCGCGCAGGATTGCGCAATAGCAGCAGCGTCAGGAGATTTTTCTTCAATAAAATCCGAGTGAAGGGAGATTTCCTCTGCCCAGGGCTGGCGTAGATGAGCGAGGGTATGAAGATTCTTTCCATGGAAGAAAACTTTCCAAATTCCATTTCAAGCCCTGCAGCCACAGTAATACCATTGTCCCGAGTGAGAGCTTTGTCAGCCACCGGTGGCTGACATTGTCACGAATGGGTTAAATTTTCAAATTTATTACATGCGTAACCCATGTAACTTGAAAAATGCTCGATCGCCTGAAGAATGAGGTGACGAAAGGAGAGTTTTAGATTACCGCCTCTGGTCCTAGACGCCACTAACTGGTAAAATGCGTGACTTTTAATATGGAGAAGCTCATTGAGAATTTTGAAAACCATTAGAATGTCATTCCTCCTCAGCCTCAGGTGCAGTGGATCTAAATTGAGCATCTTACTTCTGACTACTCCACGGGGGATGCTTCGATAAGTGAAGCCGAGAGATCTTATGAATAGCTTTCTCGTGAAGTTCTTTTGTATCTTGCCGAGCACTTTTGAATCGCGACAGTGTCGAGCCAAAGGCCAAAGTTCGAGAGAAACTACTTATTGGCACCTATTCCTGAATTCCTGACCCGTGATTTTAGAGAAGAGGCCAAAAAGTACATAAGTATTTCACCGGTATGTCTGGAAAGATTCACGGTGCTTTTTTACTATGAATGTGATAAGGTGAGTGGAAATTTATAATCTGAACGACCACAAAAAATGTCAAGCCAATGACGAAATAAAAACCAATCTGCGACAGGAAAACAAACTTTAGCAAAGAGGTAACTATTTTCCCGACAACGGCGGGGTTCTGCAACAGACACGTTAACCATATTAGAACGAGAGGGGAAAATATGAGTCATCATTGAGCCTATTGAGCAAATCAGGCGACAATAACCGGGATCTCGCGAGAAACAATATGTTTATGGGCGGAAGTGGTGTAGGCAAGTGGCACGCTTACCACGCGAGCGGTCCGGGGATCAAATCCTGGGTCGTGAGTCGCCCGGGCCAACCAAGCCTTCCATCCCTCCGGGGTCGGTTAATTGGTACCAGACTTGTCTGGGAGGATAAAAACACTGACTTGTACATCGGCTGGCCCCCGCAAGTCATTGTATAGGCCACATCGCATTCAAACGCCACTACGAATGTACAAATGGAAGTAGAATGCGTGCCGCATCCCAAAAAGGGATTGATCAACGGCAAATGCTTTATCCTTTATCCTTTTTATGCTGGAACTGACCAAACATTCCCATGTTACATTTGTTAGACGATATTACCAAATTTCTTTTTTCAACTTTATACTTTTTCTAACCTGCAGTGCTACAATATCTGGATTCACTAGGAGAATGTGTTTAGCAATCTTCTGTAGACCATTATTCACTGACGCTCCAGATAAACCAAATATGAACGTCATCACCCGTAAGACGCCACTGACTAAGCCAGCGTACGAGCACAGATTGACCAAGCACAAAAGGATGACCCGGGACATACCTAAAAAAATCATTCATGCGTTTATAAAAGACTTGGAAAGTTGGCGGCAAGAGAACAAACAAATTACGAACAAAATGAAGAATGCAACGGATCAAAGTTGTTGGCACACACGTATGGAGCGTCTATAAAATAATAGGTAATTAGGTTGACTATAATAGGCTAAAAAAGAATCGATGTACCAATCTCCTGGATTAAAAAATGTTGCTGGTTAGAACGCACTTGCCCGGAAAGCGAGAGGTGCGGGTTCTAGTCCCGCCTGGGGCGAAAGTTTTGTTCACAACCCAGCATTCTTGTGAAACATTCGCAAGGCGAACTGCGGCCAAAAACAGCAGTTAACAAACAAAACAAGTCAAAAAAAAACAAATGCTAACATTTTATTTAGAACTGCAGAAGCATTTTATTCGCGCCACGACCCGGAATCAACTCTCTTATTCATGGCATAGATGGTATGGAGCAATCTTTTGTTTGATCTCTCAAGATTTTACAAGCGTTGTGAGGTTTCACCAAGTCGGCTAGAGGATCTTTCATTTGGAGAGTGCCTGTCTCCATTTTAAAGTCTCCAGCCGGTTTGTAGTGAAGACTATGGGAGCTGAACACATTGACGACATTTAGACACGGTTGCGCGTCTCACCCTTGTCATCCTTTTTTCAATCGTATGCGGGGACAAGTCAACCCTATTTTTGCTACAAGTGGCAACGGGGGTCGTCGTATTTCGATGAGTTTTGTAGAGGGGGGGGGGTCGTACTTGCTTCGGTTGTAAGAAGTTGCATGATGATGAGTGGGGAGCGGCGCGAGAGAAAATTTGCTGTTTCAGCGTGCGTATATACCTTATACCCCCTCCCGGGTTCGTATGAAACATTTTAGGAGGGAGGGGTCGTAGAAACTTTTGAAAAACTAGCAACGATAGGAACGACCCTGTGCGGGGATTCTTCCCAATTTGCTTGCCTCTATTCTATGGATTACAACATAACATAACTGTAAACGACATGGGTCGGTATGATCAAATATGCTCCAGTTTAGCAGAAGTTTTTTAAGCACAGCGGAATTGGCAGCTCGGTTCATTCCTCGTTTTCTTCCTATTCTCATGAACATGTCAGTGAGAAAAGGTAGTGAAAGTACAATTAAGGGATAGAAAATATGTGTTTCTTGGCACATCCACATCGAAAATAGCTTTGGGCAGTCACACTTTCCATACAGAGAAAAGGACGAAGCGTCCATTTTCAATTACCACACAGTGTGCTTTTGGATAGAGGATTTTTGCTCCTACATTCTCGACCTCTCTTCTACGTAGTGAATATTGTGATTAGTGGTTTTTGCTACCAGTGAAGAAAAACTTTCAATTATCATTTCAAATATTCACGACTGTTAGGCAGGGTCAACCGTCCGTTGGACAAAGTCCAACGCGACGACGAGAGTAATGCCGAGAGTGAACGTACGCACGGAGACACAGACGGCTCGCGGGTGGCGAGAGTGAATGCCGGCGCGGAGAGCGGTGAACATCGGTCCAACGTCGCTCCAATATCGGTCCAACGTAACGGTTGACCCTGCTGGAGGTGCGGCGGCCGCGCTCGTTCCTGTCCTACGTGGCCAAAAAGCCAAAACACGCGGCTGTCGTCAACCTGTTTGTTAAAAAAGCTTGTGCTTCATGCGTATAGCCTATGCATGCGAGCGTAATAGCGCATTCTGAGCAGTGGGTGCGTTGGTATCAGGCATGTCTTCGATGCTGGAATGCCGGTAAGGGCCAAGTTCAAGTGACAGAGAGTCATGGAGCGCAGTCTGAGTTGTCGACCTCAATACAATGATCCACGACCCGGCGGGATAACATAGTTAACACAGAGCCTCTCAGTCCGACGACCGAGCCTAGCAAGCTACTCGTGATTGCATGATATGCCGACGTGAGTGGAGAGAGCCGCAAAGATCAAAAAGCGAAGTCCTAGGACCGTCTTGAATTTGGATCGCTCCACTTTTCTTGGTGATTTGTGGGAGATTTCCCCTGTAAAAAACGTCCACGAATAATACCACCGGTTCGTGAAAGTCTTCACAATAGTGCGTGCAAGGCAGTGAATCGAGACAACTTCATAAATGAATAATAGAGTCACGAAAGCGAAAGAAAAGCAACTGACAACTACTCAAGCGTACTGTACACCTGCAAAACGAGGTATAGGATGGGTGGAAAGAGTAGAAAGCAGAGAATGAAGCAGAAGCAGACCTGGTCGCATCAGCGCTTCGTTCATGCACCGCCCGCAGCACCTCTGTAGCATTTTTTTTGCTAAGTAAATAACAGCGCACGTGTCAGTGCAGCACATCTCCTGCACTTGTGATTGTCCTGGACTTGAATCACTCAACCGTTTGTGGATCCATGCCCGGTCTTCTTTGAACCTGGGCATGTTGGAATATTGCTTGTTGTTACTCTGCCATACAGGTTGTTACGATGGAACTATTTATTCGGTCGACGTTTCGAACAATTCGTCGTCTTCAGGACCTGAAGTCGGTTCGAAGTTCTTAGCTTGTAACTTACCCGGTCAAGCCCCACGATACTTCTCAAGAACCACAAATAGAGGAGAATCCCAACCAGGGAAACCAACCTCCGTACACTGAATTTCATAATGATACAGCCACCTACAAATCGTTCAAAAACTCGAAGTTAATCAAGTTTCTAAAAAACGTCTGAATAGAAAACGTGACAAATTTGTTCGCAAGTTCAAATATCAACACAAAACTGCAGGTTGAAGATGAAAAAGAATTGTGCCTATTTTCACAGACTATGTTTCATAATGATACAACTACCCAGTGTTTTTTTTTTCATTCAATTTCATTTCCGCTCCGTGAAAATGGTCTACAGATATCACATTTCACCTTGAGATTAATACAAAAATGGAACAGTTTTCGGACTCTGAAAAGGGAAAAAGGGAAAGAATCAAGAAGCCTCAGGAGGTCACACAATGAGGAGAATTGAGTCGGAAGTTCATAACGGTTGACGATTCTATTCTATGGATTACAACATAACATAACTGTAAACGACATGGGTCACGGTATGATCAAATATGCTCCAGTTTAGCAGAAGTTTTTTAAGCACAGCGGAATTGGCAGCTCGGTTCATTCCTCGTTTTCTTCCTATTCTCATGAACATGTCAGTGAGAAAGGGTAGTGAAAGTAAATACAAACTAAAGGGATAGAAAATATATGTTTCACTTGACACATCCACATCGAAAATAGTTTTGGCATCCACTACAGAGAAAAGGACTTGAATTCCAATTTTCTTTACCATTTCACGTTTTTTGATCGGAATTTCGCTACTATATCTTCGATTACTTTCTACGCATTGAATATTGCTGAAATGGTTTCGTACCTTTGAAGCTTCCCAAGTTATCGTTCGAAATTTACGGGTGTGAGGTATGACGGCCGCGCTCGCAAAAGCGCTCGTCCCACGCGGTGCAAAAACCCAAAACGCGCGATGTCGTCAACGTGTTAAATCTAAATCCTTTCCTCATAATGCTGCTCTCAGCCAGCAACGCAAGAAGAATATTCAGAGCTCTTCTTTGTCTAATATCCTGCAGGGTTTCTGAAGAAATTGTCAGCCGTTATGGAGCTTTCTTGTGCAGGTGACTGAGGATTTTTTTGCAACAATTTTCCCCTTTCTTAGACCCACAGCTGATTTCCTTTTGTAAATTCTTAAGACGAAGAACGTGGTACATATCTGTAGACAGTTAAACCCGAAGAATAGCACAAAAATTGGGCGCTACATAATTTGAAACTGGGAAATCGCCACCTCCAACCTGGAATATTGTGTTGATGTTTGAACTCGCAATCAAATTTGCCACATTTTCCGCTTCGACAGTTTTTTTCAAAAGCTTTTTGAACTTCGAATTTTGAACGATTCTTAGGTGGCTGCATCATAAATGGAACGCAGTGTGGTTCCACCAGCGCCACGTGTTTCCCCTATTCCTTGAACAGATGCGGGAAAAATGAGACACACGTGACAGTGAAGACCTCATACGTGCGGAATGGAATATCTCACAGTCCATACTACCAAAACCAAGACAGAACTCTAGCGACTTCTACTCCACACTGCATAAAGTAAAAAACAAGATTATCCCGCACATTTTTCTGGCTTCGAAAAATCTTCTGTTGACGATTAGAAACCTCGAAAAATTCGCAACAGTACTTAGGCACTTTATTTTCCTGAACCCTACCCTAGAATAACCGAAGAAAAATCCCACCACTAAAGCGCCGCCCGAGACTGTGCATGGCCACGAGTCGACACACCTAAATCACCTCAATTTTGTGCGACTTGGGGTTGTCGTTTTTGTCTTGTCGACATAAATCTTTCTCGTGAAATTTGCAGCAGAAATTCGACCCTCAATTGTCCCTCCTGATGCAGCAGTATTCACTGCATTTAAAAGCAATTACTGTGGAGTCTTGCTTAATCAGTGAGACCTTAGACACTTTGCAGGCTAAACCCTCATAAGTCGATCTGTCGAATTTATTAAATTCAAACAGAGATCCGAGATGATCAAGATATAAACTCTCTGCGGTTGAATTTCATCTGTGACCGGCCTAAAAACTGTAATAGATACCGCGAAAAATCTCCTTGATGAGTTCGGGGGGGACATGGCCTTGCCCCCGTGATTGAACCTTGTCTACAATAAACATAGAAGCGTTTTCAGCTTCGAAAAATCATTGCAAGGAAAGGCACAAGTGTCTTCAAGAGCTTCAGAAGTTACGTTTTGCACGGCGATCTTTCATGCTCAGCACCTTCCCCTGGTCCGAATAAATTTTAACTGGCTAGTGTTGATTTGCCGGAAAATAGTTAATACAATCAAAATATAATAGCAGAAAAACTTTTGGGAAACTAGTTGTTATTACAGAACCAGAAATAGTGATGGGTTTGTAAATCGCGCAAAGGAATGAGTTCATCTCATTACTGTCGTAATAACTATCAATTTGATTGAAAAAGTTGGGTGCCTTGCAGTTCTCCTCCCCAAGTCAGGTTACTTC